TCCGTTATGAGATCTGGTGCCCCCTTCTGGCTTGAAGGGATGCATGCAGACAGAACACTGTATACATAATAAATAAAATTTAAAAAAAAAAGATATTGTAAAGAGTTAGAGAGATGTTTATTTGTGAACTGTTGAGAAGCACAAGCTATATATGAATATTACAGAGTGAAACGGTCTTTCTTGAGCCAGTGCCCTCTCTAACAAGCTTGAAAGACTGAACATAGATTCACCAAAATTCCAGCGTTGCTTCTGGATGGCAGAAAACTGATGGTTTCCATTTGCCCCTTCCGCTTTTCTGTACCCGCCTCCAAACTTCTGTGGTTTGTGAAAGTTTCTCACATTTCCTTTGCCTTCCATCCATGCATCCTCTTTAAGTTTTTGTGAACTGGAAAAGAAAAGGATGGTCAGTGGCGGTGGTTCAAGCTGGCAATCCCACCATTTGGGAGACTGAGGCAAGAGGATTGCCATGTGTTCGAAATCAGACTTGATTTCAGAAGGAGAATGTCTCAAAAAGAACAGGAGTGGCTGGGCTATGGTGACCTTTAATCCCAGTACATGGGAGGCAGTGGCTGGCTGGTCTCTGAGTTCTGAGGGCAACACGGTCTACAGAGCAAGTTACAGGACAGCCAGAGCTACACAGAGAAACCCTGTCTTGAAAAAAATAAACGATCAGAGTGGTGATGTGGGTAGCAATTCCAGTCTGGGAATTCTTCGTTCTGATCTGGATGAGTGGTGAATATTATCTTCCCGCTCTATTCACCCAAACAAGGGAGAAAAAGCCAGTCATCCACAGGACGCACAGAAGTTGGGGCGTTCTACTCTCTTGTTTTCTGCCCTTGCTCCCAACACCCGGAGCTTCCAGGGGTGCTGGGCTCGGGACGGCCCCGCGGGCCTCTTGCCGGTTGGGTAGCGCCAGGGGCGCGTGGGCGGCACCAGGTTCAGCTGTTCCGCGTCCGCCCCGCCCAGTGCCCAGGTCCTATAAGTGTAGCCCCAGCCTCAGAGCCCTGCGTGCGGAGCAGCAGCAAAGCAGAGCATGGCCAGGAACACCAACCTCCGGTGGCGGCTGCCCGTCATCTGCTTGGTCCTGCAGGTGGCGATGGTGATTCTCTTCGGCGTGTTTATGCGCTACGACATCCAGGCAGATGCCCACTGGTGGTTGGAAAAGAAGCTCAAGAACATCTCCAGCGACATTGAGAATGACTTTTACTATCGCTACCCCAGTAAGTCCTATGCCCGGCAGGCTCACCTGAAGTGTCTTCGGGTGGTTCCCATTGGGCCCCCTGAATGCTCTCCTCATTAGGTCTGCCTCTGGCTCTAAAACAGAATGGACATGGAGGGGCGATTCTTCCCCACAGTCTCCAGCTGGCCCCAGAGTAGGCTCTGCACCAGGGTACTCTCCTACCTCAGGCAGTCACTTGGAGAAATGGTGCTCACACTTGCTGTAAAAGTCTATTAGGGGAGTCACCTGGGAGAGGTGAGCTGTCTTCGTTATTGTTGTTTAGTTGGTTAGGTTTTTATATGTTTTTTAACTTTCATCTTCCCCAACCATCAGACGCCTCCTATATCTCTGTCCTGCTTGGTCCTCAAAAGCCAGAGTTCAATCTCCATCACCCAACCAGTAGGTGACCTGGCCCCCATATACCTCAAATAAGGGGTAGGTCCTAAGTCAGCGATCACAAGGATGGCATGATGGCTCTCCACTTTTATTATGGAGATAGGTGTGTGGGACCACAGGTGGTGTTGGGCCAGGAGGTCATAACAACCACTCTCTTTGGGTTTGGAGAAAAAGCTACTGGACACCCTCCCCTACCCTGGAATTTTCTGTAATGCTATGGTTAAGAATATGGCTGTAGTAGCTGGGGAGATGGCAACAATTAAGAACATTGGATACTTTTCCAGAGGACGGGGCTTTGATTCCTTGCACTTATGTGGTGGCTCACAACCATCTGTAACTCCAGTTCCAGGGAATCTGATGACTTCTTCTGCCTTCCGTGGGCACCAGGCACACACATGGCGCACAGACACTCATGCAGGCAAAGCACTCATACATACACACACAAAAAAGATGCCTGTCATTCCAGGGCCATATTTTTTGTCGTCAAGATGACAAAAAAAGATGACGACAAAGAATATGGCCCTGGAATGACAGGCGTCTTTTTTTTAATCATGGATCTACTACTTTGGGGTGGGTGCTCTCAGGCAGATGTCAATCATAAAGAACCCTAACTTCCTTCTCTGCCGACCAGGGGTGATGGTGGGAACCACTGCCCAGGAGGGATGCAAAGCGGTGTGAAGTACTGGGGGTGCATCACACCACAAAAGCACTAAACACAGGCACCTGAGGACTTAAGGCGTCTCAGAGAACGTAAAGAACTAGTCCAAGGTCACTCCAGGCAGCCTAACCTTGGACTGCCAGCCCAGGACTCTGCTAATGCCCTTGTGCTTTCTAAGTTTCCACTCTGTCTACCAACAGCCAATGACAATTCTTCTAACAGTTGGTGCTCATGTCGTCATGGGTCATTGGTTTTCCAAGGGACCCTGAAGCTTTTCTCCAATGGCTGCCTATGCGGACCTCTGTTCCCTCTGCAGCTTGCAAACTCAGCAGCAGGGCACTCTCTGTGTCTGGAAACCAAAGGGCGCCCTTCAGGACTGCGTGCTTCAAAAGAGGTCTTGACAGCTATGGCTTCCGTTATATATAGCTGAAGCTGAAGCTTTAGAATCTACAGTGCAAATCCACTCTTCCTGTTTCCAAACCTTCCTCTTCTGTATGGGGATTTGGCAGGCGAGCTTAGGATTCATCCTTGACTTACTCCATTTCATCTCCGGCTGTCTTGCTTACATCTGGGCACCAGAGCCAGTCCCATAGAAAAGTACAAGGCCAAGGCTGCCCTCTCGTGGGCATTTGTAGCTCTTTTATCTTGTCCTGGCAGTACAGGTCATCAAGACCCCCACAATGGAAGCCACAGAACCTCATGGCCCCTAAGAAGGGATGCAGTCCTCTGGCTCCCTGACTCCTATACTGTCCCTCTTCACTCAGCCACCTGTCTTCTTTTCCATCACTCCATCAGCATTTATCTAGAGGGTTATCCAGGGATGCTGGCAGCAGTGAGTTGGGAGCAAGACATAAACCCTGACTATTCCAGTGAATCAGGATTTATGGTCATTCTGGACAAACAAGTTGTATATCCTCTGGTCCTCAAGAACTCCTAAATTTATTGGGAACAGAGCACTGACTGTATTCCATAACACCCAAGGCCAGTGTTGCTCTGAGCAGGCAGTCCATCTCTGACAACAGAAAGTACTGGTTGCTGAGGAGGGGGCAGGGCAGCCAAGAGAACTCTGAAAGGAAGCCTGGGAAGAGGGGAGAGGGGTTCAGAATGGTCTAAGAGAAGGACTCTGAGAGAGAAGGGGGGAAGGCTGAGGGAGAAGGGAACCCTAACCACCAAGGATGCCCCCTAGTTGCCCTTGTCTCTAACTCCCAAGAGACATGAGGGAGCCACGTCCACAGAAGCAGGAAGTGAGAGGTAAGTCAGTGTTCCTTGGCAAGCACAGGAGGTACTGTGGTGGCAGAAGCAGCTCCAGCCAAGCATGAGTTCTCTCCTTGATCACCGTTATCATCCCTCAAGGGGAGACGTTGCTACAACCGCCCCACCCCCATTTCACAGATGAGAAAACTAAACCTATAGAGCAGGCATGTCTCACACAGGTCACCCCATAAGGAGCACGAGGCTTCCTTGCCAGGTGGGTTTCCAGGCCCTGGTTTCTAAATTACCAGGTAATTCCCAAGGTGTGGGTCAAGACAGGCTCCTGTGGTTCTTCTGGTTCTTGGCTTGCAACCACCAACACCTTGAATGGGTGCACTGTGGGGTCCTCATTCCCACTCAAGGGATTAGTGGAGCCTTCTGGGCATCTCTGGTTTCTGGAGCAGGTCAGCACCAGGACTGAAATCAGCATCAGCATCCCCAGCCCCTTCCGGACAACAGACACAGAGCTAGCTGGGAATGTGCCCTGATGCTCACAGGGAACTGAAGTGTCATGGCAGCTGCTGAATGAGAAGCCTCCTCCTAGCTGGTGTAGCAGCAGAAGCTGGGCCAAGGAAGGCCACCAGGTCCTGACCCCAGAAGCTTTCTGGAGACACCAAAGGTCAAGACATGAAGGAAAGGACCTGAAGTAGAGGATGCCCAGATTTCCCACAACTAAGGGCCTGTCTTCTGATGACAGAGCCTCCAGGCTTGCCTGGTCCTCTAGGAACTGTACCCCCAACTGGGTTTCTGTCCATTAGAACCCGTTTAACCAGAATAGGTGGCAGCACAGCCTGGTGACTTGCCTTTTAGTGAGACATCTGGGTCAGATCCCTCGCTTGATGACCTAACCTTGAGCATCAGACTACCTCTCTGTAGAGAGGGACAATGCTGTAAAGTGCCATGTCTAAGAAGATTCAAGGCTTTGGGGGTGTTGTTTCCTAGTAAACATGACTTTTGGGGTGTCGTTTTCTAGTAAACATGGTCAAGGGCTCCAGAAGGGAGAGAACACTCCATGATGTTTAAAATGGAGGCCCAGCGTCTGGCTACAATTGTGGCTGAGAAATATGTCCCTGGTGCTCGTTAGAACTATAGTAGACTTTGCGTTCCTCTGTGCTCTTCTCCGCTGCTGGGTGCTGCTTGTCTGTTGCCAGGCAGGACGTTTATTCTCTTCAGGGAGCCCGACGCTGAGCTGGACAATGGCATAGGAATGAAGGGATAAAGCCAAACCCTTCTACTGCCACAACCTATCTGCTTTCTGGAGTTGTCTGTGGCATCGCTGCCCCCATCAGTTGTCTTTTGACCTTGGCACTTGCGCACAGTCACCACTATTGTTGTCATCATCGTCATTGTTGTTGTTGTCGTCATCATCATCATCGTAATCCCAGAAAGCAAGTGAGGCTGGGTTGGCCTCTAGGAAATGGATGGAGAGGGCCAGTACCTCCAGGCACCAACCACCCTTAGTGTGATAATACAGCAGAGGTGGAATAGGGCCTTCAGCTATTTGCTGGGGTACGAAACTGTTAGGAGCTTTGGTTGAACTCCGGAAGTCTGAAGAGTTTCAGAGGAGCATAGTAGTCCGGGAATGGGAGAGTGGAAACAGCTATGTAGTGGCGCCCTCTGGTGGAAGTTAACATGGTTGGCCACTAGTGTGCTGATCTGCTCATTAGACCTTGAATTTGAGAGAACGGAGGAGGTTAAGGACAGAGGGCCAACTTCCACTTGCCATCAGCAAGCCGCCTGCACAGAGAAAAAGAGAAACACCCGCTCATATGACTGAACGATGGCCCGTGCCAGGGCTTTGATGGGGTTTCCTCATTAAAAGCCCCCCTATAGGACCACTTGGGATAGCTTTCTGTAGGGCCAGAGAGAACATGCCTTTGATGAAGGCACACAGACCAAATTTCCACATGGTTACTGCTTGGATCTCTAAAGATAGCACCGAACCTGAGGCAACAGAGTTTGGTGAATGGAAAGTTTCAGTACTAACTCAGAGACCAGATAAGAAAAAAAAGAGGAAGGGAAAATGCCCAAATGAAAGCTACATCTCTAGAGAGGGACACGGCACACATCCAAGGGACTGGGATAAGAGGATGGGGGGGGGCGGTGGAAGGACAGAAAAATCCAGGATTCCTTGTGCCTGCTCTTGGGATTCAGGGAGACCCAGGGCAGCTTCAGGGTGTGTAGGTGGTGTTCCCTAGGGCCCTGCTGCTCTTCTCTGACTGTCTGGCTCCTCTGTTCCACTGGGATCTGGACCCTCCCCCCACTTGCTTCCTGGCAGGACATTTTCTCCTGGGGGCTTCCCCCCAGTGTTCCCTTCCTGTCCTTTAGCCCTAAGGCACACTAGTGTGCAGACTTGATCCATCTCTCTCTTCATTCCCACATTCAGCGGTTTGAGGGCCTGCCTGCTGTAGGTGACAGTTGGTTCTCTTAGGCTTCAGATCCTGCCTCTTCTGTGGTTGGTTGTCTTAGGCTCACCACAGCCAGAATAACACCCAGCGCTTAACCTTCAATAGCTGCCTCTTCACTCCCATTGCTGTAAGTTTGTCAACAGCCCTGCTTTGTGCCAGTGAGCTCTGCATTCCCTGCTTGGGGGACTGTCATTGAACATTACGCATTTGCAGAGCTTTTCTAGTCTGTCACTCATCAGTTCTCCCCAGAACAACCACAGGATCTTTTATGGTGCTTCACATAACATT